GCCAAATCAACAAACTTCAGTAATTTTCCCATCTGGGTATCTTGTACCAGACACATGTGCGATTTACAACCAACTTAGAGTGATTGAGTCTGTGTGAAATCAACTGATCGTTTTTGAAAGGCACCCCTTGTACTTGGCCAGGGAGCATTTTCTAAGAAGGGCATGGAGCAAGGTGAAAATAAAGGGAGAACCCCATCGTAGACCCGGCTGGGGACCCCAAGGTGACCTGGTTCTTTCCTAGATACGGTGACGGGGATAGAGAACTGGGAGTCCACCCTCATTAATCTGTGACTCTACTTCTCACATCAAATCAGAGTGTGTCTGCCGAGTGCCCATCAGTCAAGACCTTGCACGTGTCTGTCCATTTCACTTTGAGATATGATCCTTGGCGTGGCTTGAGTGACCCATCACTCCAAATGACGCTATGTAGAGAGGGTAAGATGAAAGAGAGACTCTCCAGGGGCAGTTCCTTTGGGATGTAAAGGAGTCTTGAGGGGAGGTAGCTGCAGCCTAAGCCAAATCGAGGCGAGGACCCCCAAAAGAGATACCTAGTCCTTGTGATTTATTTCTGCCTCCTGTGTTTCCTGTTGTCAGTGCTAAGTGTGTATTTGTTTTGCAATCATGAACCGAAGCACAAAAAGACGCATGAGACATTGTAGTCATATGTCTGGTGTCACACTTGGGAGCAAAAACCTTTCCGTGGTAAATAAATCATTTCCAACTGGGTCAGGTGCCCGGTGTTTTCTTTTTCCTTTTCACTTAATATTTGAGACACATCAAATGCACAAACAATAATTTGATAAACACTCATAAGCTACTACCGCGTTTTATAAAACTTGATGAATACCATCGAAGTCCCCTCGGTTTCACTCAGGAGAGCGCCGTGTTTCTCCCCGCCCCAAACGTGTCTTCACCCCTTCCCTCCACATATACATAAGCTCTGAGCAGCATAAGAGTATCTTTGTGTTTTAAACTTTATTTAAATTACATCCCACTATTTGGGTTCCACATTAAAATTTTGAACTTGACCCATGCAGACATATGTAGCTCTAACCCGTTTGTTTGTTTATTAACTTACGTATTTGTTTGCCGCTGTATAAGATTCGATTATATGGAGAGGCCACCATCCCATTCTCTTACTGATGTACATTTAGACATTTCTTTGTTTTTTCTATTACAAGACTGGTAGGAACATTCTCGTGCATGTCCCCTTGTTCCCGTGTACAAGTTTCTCTAAAGTATGTGCCCAGGAGTGAGTAGAATTGCTGAATGGTAAAGTGCTCTTTGTGCGTACACGTGCATGTGCGCGCGCGTGTGTGTGCGCGCGTGCGTGTTCTCATGCCCCTGGTGGTTTTGCTTGAGCACCAAATCCAAGGTATACACAAGTAGGGATGCAGGCAACAGGCATGGCCTCTTGGGGCTCTGACTTCATTCTTGAGAAAAAAATTAGGTAGGATCTAGAGACTTCTTTCTCTAACATCCCCAAAAGAAATACTCCTATCCCTGGAAGGTCAGCGCATCAGCCGATGGTTCTCCTGCGCTCCAGAAGGTGGGCAGGGACAAGGGGAGTCCTGGAGGCCTGTCACCCTAGGGCCTCCTGGTGGCTGCTGCAGCCCTGGCCTCTGGAGGCAGAGGCTCTGGCATCAGGCGAAGGGCAGGTCCTGAATTTTATAGTCAGTAGGGAATTAGCCAGGGCCGATTAAAACTGAAGCTCTTATAATGGAGAAATGATCCATGAAGAAAGCCTTGAGATGCCTTTGCTTTCCAAGTGCATGCGATTCCTTATTTTATATTATACACATATTTATTATATTGTAAGGACAGCCAGGATTTTTAGTTTCATAATTAAGTAGAAGTAGGTCCTGTCCCACAGAGAGCTGAGTATACAGACCATGTTTCACGGGTACCTATGAATATGGCCCATCAGAACCTCAAACTAATATCTGAGAGTCTGGAAGAGAGGAGAAGAGTTCATTGATCACAGTATATGGGGCTTTCCACTGAACTGCCTTAAATAATAAGCTCTGCCCCTGCATATAAAATGGACTCAAGTCTAGAGCACTGCAGGTAGGAGCCAAGAACCTACAACCCAGTGTGGCTATGTCACTTCATGGCCTTGGGCAAGTCACTTGCGTTCGGGCTTCAGTGTCCCTATCTGTGAAATGAACTTGGACCAAATGATCACTCACTTTAAGGTTTTGGGATTCTTTGACCTAGACTGGCACCAATATACTTTTCACACATAGTTTCAGTCTCCTGTCTCGTGCATAAAACAAACTAAACCCACCTACTTGTGTACCTGCCCTCTCTGTCCCATGCCTGGTAGGTCCACCTAGCATCTTCTGACAGTCACCCAGTCCTTGAGGCAATACACAATGTCACCTGAGGCTCTGAGTCAGCCTCTCTCGTGTACTTCACTGCTAATGGAACTGGTGGTAATTTTCCATCCAAGAGTTTCTATTTTTTTCCATTTTTTCTTACCGACAGTTGGAAGCACCACCATTCCAGAAGCTCAGAACCCTAGCATCTGTTCTGTCTCCCTTCCAGGGCAGACACCTGGCAAGGCTAGAGCCACAGGATGTGCTATGGATAGATTTAGGCGGTTGGGCATTTTCTTGGTGCGAGTGTTGAAGAACTGCCCCCCTTCTCCCCTCTTCCTCCTGCAGGTGAGCCAGCACGGATGGTTCTTGGCAGGAACCTCAGAAGCTTCCCCAAGCCAGAGATGGAGGCAGACACCTACCTGGGGGGCGGTGGGAGGAAGTTGGCCTTGGGGCTGGAAGCCAGGCGTTGCCAAGGAAACCTGTCTAGTGGTGGCCACACTGTGCTCAGGGCCCTGGGGTGGTTCGTCTCCATCTGGGTGTGGTCTCCTTGCAAACAGCCCAGGCTGGAGTATAGTTTCCCACTCCAATTTCCCAGCATTCCTTCTTGGTGTTTCAGGACAGCCCATTGGCAAGTGGGTGTTGGCAGAAATCCTGCTTCAGACACCCGGGGGGCTCAAACCGGGGACAAGCAAGGAGAAACTGGTTTTTCCAGCCGAAAAACAAACAAAACTTCTCTGCGGCCCCTTTTCCCTTAAAAGCCAGGTGGGATGAGCTCTGGAAGCAGAAGAAGCTGCGCTGAGGGTCTTTAGGCTGAGAAGGGAAAGGCGGGCCCCATTCAGGCAGAGGTGTCCAAGTCTGCAGGCAGGGGAAGTGTGGGTGGCTCTGTATTACAAGGCACAGGCTACCCCTCATCGAGGGTAGCGACAGGAATTCCGGGGGAACGAGGACCACAGTGGGAAACCACACAACTTCCTAGCACCTACTCCATCCTAAGAGGCTCTCCATCCTACTCTATCTAAGAGGTACCTATAATGAGAATGATGATACACAGTCAGCATGTAGTAGCCCACTGCTCTGTGCTAAGCACTGAAGACACAGACTCAGATAAGTGACTTGCCCAAGGTCTCACAGCTTGTAAGAGGCAGAGCGGCGTACTGAATGCGGTGTTCTCTGACCCTAAAGTCCAGGCTCTGACATACGGCCAGGGACCAAGGGTCTTTATTGCTAAGGTAATTTAGATGTGCTCACAGTGGCTTTCAAATGTCGCCTAGAACCTTGGACTGAGAATTGCCAAGCTGGAAGGAGCTCAAAGTTCTCTTTCCTGGGCAAAAGAGGAGACACCTGCTTGGATTGTGAGGGGCCATTATTCAAGGGACAAGAGCAAGTTGGAGTGGAGTATAACTCAAGGAAGCATCTCAGGGGCAACCTCTAGCTTTGTATAGAGAAGAGACCGGGTCAAGGCCAGATGTAGCCCAGGGTCAGGTGCAGGGTCATCCTGATCCAATGGAGAAACCAATACAGAGACAGAGGAAGTGAAGAATCCAGGATTTCCCCCATGACCAATACAGCATGAATGGGATTATACTTGTATCAGGGGCTGCCTAAAGTCATTCAATCACCCTTTCAATAAACATTGATTAAATGCCCACTATGTGACAGGAACTGCATGCGCACGCGTGCACACACACACACACAAGGTGGCAAACAGAGATAAACGTCATGAAAGGAAATACCAGCGGGAACATTGAACAGCGCCTCGAGGGTGGCTATTTAGAGAGGGACCCTAAGAGACGAGAAGAGCTCGGCCATACAACCATCCTAAGGGAAGCCATCCAGGCAGAGGGTACAGGGTATTGGGAAGTCCTGAAGCAGAGAAGAACTTGGTGAGCTTGAGGAACAGAGGAGGGCAGTGTGGCTGGAGGCCCGTGCAGAGGACACAAGCCGAGGCCGGGAGGTAGGCAAGGGGCTAGACTGCGCAAGGCTATGGTTATGCTTGGGACTTTGGAATGCGCTCCAAGGGCAATGGGAAAGCACTGGAGAGTGTTAAGCAGGGAGGACATCGTGACTAGATCTGTGTTTTCAAAAGATCACCGTAGCAACTGTCACATAGCGGCCCCTTGGGTCTTCGGGTGACTGCCCAGTGTCCTGAGTCTCCTCTCCGAATTGAACTCAACTTGTCCTTTGCACCTTGGAGAGGGTGGGGAGCAGCTGGGGAGAAGGGGGAAGGAAGGGAAAGGGCTAGACTTCATGTTCTTTACCCCATCCTCCAAGCCCTGCTTTGGGGGGAACGACCTCATGGCCAAGTGCAGATGGAAGATCTTTCCGTTCCTTGCTTCCCAGCTGCGAATGTACGTCAAATCTGGAGGGCCAGCCGTGGAGGGCAGGCTGACCCTGGTTCACCTGGGCTGGTCAGACAGGGACAGTTATGCCCCTTTGCTCCTTCCTTCCCTAGTCCTCCTCCTTTGGGAAAAGAAGAAAACCAGAACATTCCATGGGAATTGTGGAGTGGCTTTCACAACAGGGAGCCTCTGAGTGACCAACTGAGGAGGCTGGAAATGGGCTCAACTGGAGGAAAAGAGACAGGCAGGAAGGGACTTAGAGGCCTCTTCTAGTTCCTTCCAACATGGCAAGCCGGCAGGCTCCTAGCCTGACCGTGGAGCCCTTGTGATGGAACCGATTCTGAATTGTCCAGAGCCCAGGCCTGGGATGGAGGCAAAGAGGCAGAGATTTGACCTTGGTGAGTCAATTTAAATGCTTTTATTAACAATCTTCTTACATTACAAGGATAATATGACAAAAGGAAAGTTTCTGCGTACATATTATGATAAACCAACATAGCTCTATTTGTATCCAGTGTTCTAGGCCCCGCCACACAGGTACTATAAAGCGTAGTCTGCAAAATAATAACATCGAGAGGTTTTTTTTTTTTTTAAGAAAGAAAGTATTAACATATTAATATGTGTGTGATAATAGACTCCTAAGTATTTCCCCCCCACCCCCACTTTATTTTTCCTTTGTGATTGAAATGAACCGGTTCAGCAGCGTGGGGGTGGAGAGAAGGAGAGAGGGCCCGAAAAAGAGCAGATCAGACTGCTGGCTCTTCCCCAGAGACCAAAGTGAAGACGGAGGGGCGCCCGAGGGCAGCCCGGCCCTTGTCTTCTTGTGAGCAGTATTGTAACCGGCTGTCCTCCCCTGGACGGAGGGCCCGGTGCCCGTGAGGCCCCAGGGTATGCTCTCTCTCTGAGGTACAGTGCATCGTGGATTGCTCCCCGGAGACGCCCACCCCCTGGCCACGGGTCTGACCCACCTCCGCGCAGGAAGGCTCGGGCTGGCCTGGTCTCTCTGGAGGCACTGGAGGGTGTTCCGAGGCCCGGCTGGCAGCCAGCTGTGGCTCAAGGAGACCCAGGCAGATGTGGAGGGGAGAAGAGGTGGGCATTGGCAGAACAGACCTGCCCCAGACGACAGGTGTAGGGGTGGGTCTGCTGGAGACTGAGGTACGTTGGTAGATGGCAGGGAAGAGGAGGACATGGGGTCAGAGGGTCACAGGAGGCTCGGGGACAGAGGTAAGTGCCTTTGGAGAGCTGAAAGGCCCGGGCCGGTGCGGGGCGCAGAGGATGCAGCCAACGCGGGCTGTCTCCTGTCACCTGCCGCCCCATCAGCCCCTCCTCTCCTACCTCCAGAGCCAAGAAACGGTAGAGAGAAACCTGGAAGCTACACGGGCTCCTGATTCAGTCAGGGCCGCACAAGCCCTCCGTCCTGCTACCGGCCGCACCAGTCAGTGGTGCCCCCCTCCCCGCCAGGCCTCCAGACACCCCCTCCCGGCCTGCAGTAGGAGCAGGGACAAGCCAGGGAAGGCACCCTCCCCAGTGGAAGCGGATAAGCTTGGGGCATCCGGCTCAGCCGCTGCCTCGAGTCACAGAATGAGAACAGTGTACATGAACTAAACCTACCCGCTATGGTGGCGGTGAGCTGCGGGGGTCGCTGGACCTCCACGCGGGAGGCGGCGGGGAGGGGAGCATTGTCCTGAGTGCAGCCCACAGCAGCAGCTGTGCGAAGTGGGCTCAGCCAAAGCCCTGCTTCTGAACTTGAGTTGCCACTGAAGTTATGAGTGTGTGGGTATGTCTCTCCCGGCCTTCTCTGGTAACCCCTGCCCCGGGGCGGATGGACCCTGCCCGTGCCCGCCTCATCCCTCCGGGGCCCTGGCCCACACAGTGCAGGAAGGGGTGAGGGAGGCTGGGCCGGCCTTACTTCAGAGGCTTGGCCTCCAGGGGGCAGCAGAAGCACCTAAGGTGGGGAGGGCGGCCACCTCCCTGGGCCCCTCTGGGTCCAATGCGCACCTTTCCTATTGCCGCCGGGGCTGCTCATTCCTGTGGGGGCTGAGGGGGGGGGAGGGTATTGGGGGAAACTGTGCAGCGGTCCCCTCACCGGGGCCCAGAGACCACGTCCCAGTGCCACGCAGCCCTGACCACCGAAGCGTCGGACCGCAGGGGGTGAGGAGGGATGCGGGGGAGCCCTGCGGCCACAGCCAAGCCCACAGTGAAGGAGAGAAAGTGCATGGAGAGGGCGGGGACCCCGTCACTCTCCTCCCCTACACTCTGGGTAGGAGGCCCCGTTCCGCACACCTGCCTGCCTTCCGCAGCAACCCCCGCACGGCACGGCGACAGGCTTTCCCGTTGCTCTCCCAGCTCTCTATAGACTCTATTTTTATATCTATTTAAAACATAGAAATGTATAAATATATAGGATATTATTTATAGATATATAGACGTGATTTAATCTCTTACTCTGTGTGTATCCGGACTGTATCTGTCCATATATACAATATATATGCTGTGGTATTTGTATTATACACTGCACATACCCCTGCTTCCATGCGCTCGCTCTCCTAGGGAGACTGGATTGCATAGGTATTTCCAGAAAACACCACTTCAGGGGATGGGGGTGGGGGGAGGGAAAGCCAGATGGAAGAGGAGGGCCGTACCATTTTCCTCCCCAAAGGGCACTTTTTCTCCCTCTGGCTAACGCACAAGGATCACCTCAGAGGCTCCTTAAAATATCACAGCTCCATCCACTCAGCTAAAGGACCCTGTGAACAGAGAGCAAGAGAGGGGTCTCCCTCCAAGCAGAAGAAGGGCCGTGTGTCTCTGGGCAAAATCCTCCCTCCTCAAGATGTGAGGAGGAAACCGGACCAGAACCCATGACCCAGCACCACCTCCCCCAGGAGGCTGGTGTCTGGAATGGGACCGTCCCAAGGTCACCTGCCCTCCAAACACGCCACTCCCGCCTAAGGAGGCCTGGCCTCCCTGCGTGGTCTGCCCCAGGCTGGCCTGGCTAGGACAGCCTCTTGAAGGGGCAAAGGCGCATGAGGTCCAGTGTAACTGGAGCCCTCACCACAAACTGGGTGTGGGACCTAGAAAAAGCACGAATTCTACTTGGAAATCAACCCAGACGACGTGCCAAAACCAGATCCAGATCCAGAATTCCTGTTCCTGGAAGGGCGGGGGGGGGGGGGGCAGGCAGGGGGAGGAATCTAGAAGTTCTACTTCAACTTCCAGGCTGCCTCCTGGACCCCGCGGGGCTCCAGGTGACCAGCAGCCCCACAGCCCGGCTGGGCCAAGCCTGTAGTCCATTTCTGCGTCACCACAATCATTTTTGGCATCTAACACGCTTTTCCCTCTTTTCTCCGTCTTGGTATCACGTCCAAACAAAGGGAAAATATTTAAACATGACCTTAAATAATTATAAGGTCCTTCCTCCAAATGACAGGGTTGACATAAGCAAGTCAAGGAGAGGGGGCTCAGCAAGACAACTCAACGTGGAAACCTGTAGCGGGGGCTGGGGCGAGACCACCGAATACCCTAGACTCAGGACCCAGCACCGAAGCCGGCTGTGCAGATGCCTTGGAGCTCGAGCCTGCTCTCATTCTCCAGTGAGGATGAGAAAGTAAAGGATCTGCCCTACATTACAAGATGTGAAAAAAAAAGAAAAAGAAAAAGCAGGTGTTTTGGATGCCTAGACTCTCACCTTCAACCAGGCAGGCAAAATGCGGGCATTCTACATGGCAAGAGTTGCAGACAGGGCTCGGCTGTCCTCAGGGTTCACAGATACTGGATGGCCATGGGTGTCTTTTTCCTCCACAGAGGAGAAGCAAACCATTTTCATCACAAGGGCTTGGGGCTCCCGAGCTCGGCAACGTATCTGCTTGATCTAAATGGCCATGAACCTGAACTCACTTCCCACCCCCCTCTACAAGCCAAAGAAAGTCACTAGTCAGCCAGCCCAACTAGGACGAGTCTCAACCCCAGAGACAAACATGTCCTTCAAAGCCAGTGGCTGAGCTAAAGGGCTCGACTGCATCTGAAGTGACCACGTTCGAGATGCCAGGACGGCCCGGCCACAGCTTTTTACGCGCATCAAAGGGAGAACAGGCTAGGTAAGCATCTGGTTCCCTAGGCTAGGCCCTGTGGGTCCCATTAGCCCAAGAGTCTTTCCCAAGGAGGCAGAAGAGTGGAAACTCCTAGGATAGAAATCACATGCAGCATTCACAGGATGGAAGCACTGAGCCTCCTGGGAGCATCCAGCTTGAAAAAGACCCTGTGTAAATTGCAGTGGTGTGTCACCCAAATTGTTCCCTGGTTACTCCCTGTCCCAAGGCAAAGTGACCTTCAGAGTGCCTGACACAGCCCAGGCTTGGCTGGATTCAACAGAGGTCGTGAGCACCCAGAGTTTTAGAGCGCCTTGCCAAACTTCGAGACCCCCAGGAGAGCTCGCCCTGCCTGACGCACGGACACCTGCAGTCCCACGCTATTAGCAGCAGCTCGTGCTTCTAGCCCAGAGGCAGCTCACCAGCTCCCTGCTCTCTCGGGAGACACAGGGTAGATGTTGGCGTAGGCCCAAAGGATTTATTTCTCCCCCTGGATAAAAATTTGAGCTCATTTTGGCCACGGCCCTCCTGAAACAGCCACAGCCCTGACTTGTGCTCAGGCAGACATCAATCATTCTCTCTTCCTGGTTTTCAAATGAGTGACCCAGGGGATGGCTCTAATGTAGTGGGTGGAGGGGGGCAGAGGGGAAAGGAGAAGGTGTAAGGCATCTGGTGGCTAGAAGAAAGGATCCCGACCTACTGTTTCTGGCCCCCACCAAGGCCCCCTTGCCAGCCATCTCTGCCCTCAACCCATCTTACTTAGTCTGTGCGATGGTCAAACTCCCACAGACGTGATAGTTTATGTATGTGGTGGAGAGGATATCAGGGAGGGAAAGGTGAAACCTTGTGCTTTGCAACAGTATCCCACTTGACCACGATTACTGACCGGGACGGGAAAAGCAGGGGGGTAGGTTGGGGGGTTTAGTTGGTGGGGGGGCTCATCAGCTTAAAGTAGGGACACGGTACAAGGCTGGGAATTGGCTCAAAGCCTCAGAAAGAGCTTTGGACACTTCCTCGCTAGTTCCTGCTCTCTCCTTGTTCAGAGGAGGGTGGGGAAGTACGTGGGACTGGGGAGGCGGCTGGGGGGTGAATGTCACCAGGCGGGGGGTGCATTGATTTGTTGAAGAAGGCAGCATATGAGGCCTGGCAGTGGGACAGTCGGAGAAAACCAGTTTTTTGTTTGTTTGTTTCTTGTTTTTTAACATGCTACATCACTGTTGAAAATGAACAAAAAAGTTTCAAAAATAATATATAATATATATATAATATATTTATATAATGAAAAGCTATCGGCTAGCAGCAATGATTCTAAAGTTATCTTAGCACCAAGACCATAGGGGTAGGAGGAAGGGATGTGTGGGGGGTGAGGGGACTGGCAGGACGAGGAAGGGGTAGTGACATGTTCAGTGTTGATGACATTTCCACTATGGTTCTCGACAGTGGCATGAGGCCTCAGAGACAAGATAAACCAAGAAGGAAGGAAGCCACCGCAGTATTATGTCTGAGCCAGGCAGGGTGGGGTCACGGGGGCCTTGCCTGTGGCCAGATCACACCGTCCTTTGCCCACCCTCTGCCAAGGGAGAGGGGTAGCTCCCAGCAGAACTGACCACGGACACTGCAGCTCTTCCTCCCTCCCCGACATCGGACCTGCATCCACAATACAGGGTCCCTGCACATCCAATATGCATAAATCAGATGGGGAAACATGAACAGAAGTTTTTAACAGCTCACGCACATTTTTTTTTTTTTTTTAAACTCCCTTGCGAGGTATACTGGTAGTTAAATGAACAAAAGAGCATTGATCAGACTCCTCTAGCTTAAACCACTATTTGCCCCAGGGAGTAGGCGAGTGGCTATTTCTAAAGCTTATATCGTGGTTGTGTGTGTGGGTAGGTGTGTGTGCGTGTAGGCAGATGCCTTGAGAGTCCTGTCTGGCCTCTTTTTTATTCCTTTTTCTTTAGGACATCTCTACCCTGTTCAAAGAAAAGGAAGCATTCACCAGCACAGATGCAACGCCTGGTTGCCCACTGCCTCCTGCCAGGCTGAAGCGTTTGGTACCAGCCTTGTCGCAAAAGAAGGCCTCAAGCTCTAGAGACCCTCCTTCGAGTCACGCATAACCCAGGGCACAATTTGCATTGACATCTCCTGCCACTGAACTAGAGCAGGCATTTGATTATTAAAGGAACAGCAACACATTATGTGATTATAAAGACAGAGCATAAATAATTCATGTAAATGGAATACATACCTTTCATTTTACTTGTTTTTAGCCAAAAATCGCTGCCCTGTTAGGGTCTGGATTTCTTGGCTCTTCATTCCCCAACCCCCCTCCCCCCAGTCCTGCATCTGACTGGAATTATATTATTTTACCTCACACTATGTAAGAACAGGAATGCAAAAAATCCCCCCCCCACCCCCTTTACACACACACCTTGTCCCTTCCCCAGGATTTCAAGCTCGGTGGTAAGGCAATTTTGCCTTCAGTATAACAGGTAAGATCTTTAGGATCCAGGGGGCCGGAAGGAAGGAATCCATAACCCAGGGACGGGAGAGGCGACAGAGGTGGGGAAGTGGTGGGTGTCACAGTTTGACCGACACGTTAGTTTCTAAGACAGTGAAGGAACGCTCATCAGGAAATGCATACAAACCTCTCAAGCTGAAATCAGGTGGGAGAGGGAAAGAGTCACACACGCCAATCCAGATACACCACCCACCCCATCCCAGATCAGAGATGGGGTTCAGCTCCACCAGCGTGTCCACGAAGGGGCTGAGAACCCCATCGCAGACCACACGAGAAAAGGAAAGGCAAGAACGTAAACCCAAACCCAAACCCCTCAACCCCCGAGCAAAAACATACAACAAACCACCTAGAGGTGATGACAAAGACCCGTCATTTTAGCTTAGGCTGTTGGTTGACTGTTAGGTGGGAACGCATGTGGCCCCAGCACGTGCTTCCGTGAGGGAAAAGGATGGCCACGGAGGTTGCAGCTGCCAGATCTTGTAGACAAGAGTCCGTTTCCAACATCATTCCTTTGTGAAAGCTCCCAGTGGCTTCTGGTGGACACATCACCTTGGTTTTTAAAAATTTTCAGTGTGGGCTTATATATATATATATATATATATAATATAATATATATTTATATAATATATCAAAGCTTATGAGTATAGATTAAAAAAATATTCAACAGCTTAGTGAACTCTGGGACGCCGGCCCCCTAGATGTCCGGGTAAAACTCAGACCCGGGGTCCACGGTCTGCAACACGGGTTTCTGTTCCAGCGCCGACATCCTGCTGAGGACCTCGGCGGAGAGCGCGTAACTGTTGCCCGACTTCTCCTCAAACCAGCTGTCCAGGGCTCGCTTGGCATCGAAGTTGGTGATCGGCGGGCCGTTCACAGCAATGGTCAACAGGTCGCTGAGCTGCTCCAGGGTCAGGCGGGAGCGGTGGTTTTTGCGAACTCGCTGCAGGGCATTGCGGCCTTTCTCGCAGCACGCGGTGGACGTGGGGAGGACTTTGAGGACCTGGATGATCTTGTTCAAGAGCGGGAAGCGCTGTTTGTACTTGCAGATGTGGCCGATCAGGTCTTTGAAGCCATTTTTGGTGTAGTAATCCGCCTTCAGTTCCCGCCACTCCATCAACAGGCTGCCCCGGGGGTCCAGCCCCTCCCGGCAGATATCCCGGGAGAAGGTTGGGATGGCCTCCAGGTGATCAAATATCTGCACCATGTCCTCCTTGCCGTAGCTCAGGAGCTCCTCGCTGTTCCTGGGCCAGGCGGCCAGGTCGAACACCTGGCAGGCCTTCACGAAGATCCGGCTTCGGGAATCGAACCTCTGAGCCAGGATCACCTGGGTCTTCTGGCAGATCTTCTCCCTGACGGACTGGAACTTGGCCTCGGCCACCCTGAGGTTCTTCACTGCAATCCCGTTGAAGCTCTCTCGAAAGTTCTCCTCGAACTCCTGCAGGTACTCCCCTGGGGAGTCGGCCAGCCGGCTGATCTCCTGGATGGCCTCCTCGATCTTGTCGTCCACCTGGGACACCAGGAGGTACTCGCCCTGGAAGACGTAGGCCAGGCGCGAGAGCACGGCGATCACGTCCAGGAGGAAGTAGATGAGTTTGACGGACTGGTAGTCCATGAGGAACTGCAGCAGGGCCAGCGCAATGGCGGACGCGTCGGCCCGCTGGGTCTGGCTGCTGACGTCCTTGAGGTGGGCCACCACCTCCAGGTAGTCTTTAATGAGGGCGTTGAGGACGTTCTGCTCCCCGATGATCCACCTCACGGCGCGGATGTCCCCCAAGAACTCCGTCTCCTCGCACAGGGTCGATGCCGTGGACCGGAGCTCGCACATGAGGCGCGGCGAGTACCGGTAGAAGCTCAGCAGCTGCTTCAGATTGTTCTCTAGCTCCTCCAGGCACGGGAGCTCCTTCCCGCTGATGGCGTCCAGGACCTCCAGGTGGGGCCGGTGCACCATGAAGGGCAGGCACAGCAACCAGGGCAGTGTCTTGCGGATCGTCATGAACATGCTGGCACGCAGGCTGGCCGTGACGTTGGCCCCGTCGATGCCCAGGCCGACGGTGGGCTTCTCGTCCTGCAGCCGGATGCCCAAGGCCGAAAAGGCCCGGTCGAGCGCCTGCAGGTAGCTCTCCGTGCTGGAGAAGCCCAGTTCCTGCAGGGACAGGAACTCGGTGGCCGGGGGCCCATCGCTGCTGGTGTACTGGACGTAGACGGCCACCGTGTCGGCCAGCAGGTCGTCGCTCTGCCCGTCCAGGATGATGCTGAGGCAGGGCGACTGGCGGATGCGCTCCACCAGGTCCTCCCGCAGCGCGCGGGCGATGTGGTGAATGAGGATCTGGCAGTCGCCCTCGTTCATGTACTGGTCCACCACCTTGAGCTCGCACTTGCGCAGGAGCTCGGCCAGGGGCCGGAAGTCCAGGTAGGGCCGGCCCTCGAGGGCCAGGTGGTAGGCGGTGTTGAAGAGCAGGGTCATGTTGCGGCACATCTCCTCCGTCTTCTCGGGGTGCATGCGGAGCTTGTACAGCTGCAAGCACTTCTTGTGCAGGTTGCTCTGGCTGTGCAGTTTGATGGTGTGGATCTTGAACTGCTTGGAGCCGATGATGAAGGCCGACGTGCGGGAGGACTGCACGGTGTACTGTCGGCACACGTGACACCACATCTCGTTGAGCGTCGGGGAGTACCGCAGGAACCAGAACTTCTTCAGCCATTCCTGCTTGAAGCGCCGGATGCGGCGCCCGGTGGCGGAGGACATCTTGGAGGGCTCGTCGGTGGCGGTCGTCATGTCATTGGAGACGGACTCGTCGGCAGAGTCGACCTCCTGGTCGTCGTCCTCCATGATGGCGGGGCCGGAGACCATGCTCTCGGAGGCTGGAAGACAAATGGGAAGGAAACATTTAAACCCCGGCGGCAAAAAAACGCAGGCTCTTCCAGAATGAACGGGAACACGGCCCGAGAGGTGGGTGCCACACCGTGTGCAACAGGCCAGTTCCGAGGACGGACTGAATCCCAGCCTAGAATTCTTTTTTTTTTTTTCTTTAATATATCTATGAGCACTCTGGTTATCCACGGGTGACGGTTCCTCTCCGGGGATTACGCCTGGTGGCCGCCCTGCTCCAGGCTGCCTGCCTTCACCCTCCGCTAGTGGGCGCTCAAGGAACCCAACCTTCCCTACCAACGGAGCAGCAGGGCCGGGGCCGCAGGAATGGGTCTGCGGGAGAGAACACAGCTCGCCCAGCCTGCCCAAGTCACACAGCCAGGGTGCGGGGCTCGGTTCTCTCGGCGCTAACGTGCTCAGGGCAGGCGTGCAGGCAGCTTGCCACGGCCCCAGCTTATTTCAGGATCAGAATGCAGTTGAGTTAGGACGCATGCTTTGAATATCTGAAACACCTCATTCTGAGCTAAGGGATGTGGTTAAAATAGGAAATGCTATGTAAATACTCGGACTCAGCTGCAGCTGTGTACTGAAAAAACCTTCCTGGTTGTCGATCGGTTCTAAAAGATCCAGGCAGCCAACAGAAAAGGGCCAAGGCGTGCAGCCACATGTCCCATATCCCAGGCCTTCTACAATTCCAGGCAGGGGGGACAGGACCGTGTGTGGCAGAACAGCAGCTCGGGAGGAGACGAACGAGGCCGTGTCCCGGGACTGAGTTCGAGAAGGCCGGGAGCTCTCCCCGACGAGCTGCCCTGCTTGGGACTGGGGAAGAGACAGAGACTGGGTTTAGAAGTTGAGCGTGGGGCTGAGACACCACCAGGACCGCCAGAGAAAGGCAACGGGTCAAGAACACAGCACACACCCCTCCGGCAGTGGAACTTCCTTTATTGACGAGGAGGATACAAGGGCGAGACATGAAGCATCCCACTGGCGCCGCGGAGCAGCCTGTCCGAGGCAGGCACCTGCGGGCGTGGGTCTCCCCGAAGGTGGCTCCCGCAGAGAGCGCCAGGCCACCCTCACACTGCCCACGGGGTGCTCTTCCCTCCGACCACCATCTCATCCACACCGACTTACCTGCGGGGTCCGAGAACTCTGGGAGCTCCAGTACCTGAGCTGGCAATACGGGAGGTTCGGGAAGCTTCCCAGACTTAAGCATGTCTAGTTCGGCCTGGAGTTCCCGGACCTTCTTCTTTAGGCGAATACAATTAGGGCAAAAGGAGGTGGTGGGAAGCTCGTGAGGGTCGGACGCAAGGGAGGCCTCGGCGGGACTGTCGGCCTTGAAGGACGAAGGCTCTTCTTCTTCATCCTCCAACGGAAGCCCCCTGGGCTCCTTGGAAGCCCCCTGGGGGATCTTCCAGTCCCCTTCCCCCTGGGTCCGGCTGACATTCTGCACGCCATGCGACATGCTCATTGCACACCGACTGTAGGCATCATCCTGGTACTTGGGGACCTTCCTGATGACCAGCGAGGTGCTCAAGGCCAGCTGATGCGCTTCCACCTTCGCGGATTCCAGTGAAGCCTCCAACACATCCTTGAAAATGAGGTCAATCTTCTTCTTCTTGGCCTGGGGGTGCGTGTCCCCCTCGTCAAAGCCACGCTTGTACGGACTTTTGCCCTGTCTCAACACGGGGAGCTGAAGGGGACCCCTCAGGTCTTCTGGGTTATCCAGAGCCTGCTCAGACTTCTCCCTCTGCAACCTCTTCTCTCCTAGGAAGGAAAACCAGGGTGTGAGGATGTGGGGAAAAGCCCCGACGTGGGAGAAACCGACAGAAAACAAAGCAGGCCTCCTGCTAGGAAGTCACTGGACACATCCCTCTGGGGCTGGCCCTGCGGGGGCAGGTGTGACAGAAAGGGAGAGGCGGGTCACTCCGTGGATCGCGGGGTCTACAGTGGGACCCAAAAAAGTGGGAAGAATTCTTGAAAAAGACCGTTTCAAGGGAGCCTTATGTCTATAAGCTGCACATTTATAGGCTGAGGGAATGCTGGAGGGGAGGGCAGTTGGAAGTGCGGTCACCCTAGAAGCTGACACCCCACCAATCAGACTGGGCAGGTGGGAGCGTGCCTCACAACTCAGCGCGTGGGGGACCCCCGCCCTCCAGGCTTCTTGTCCGGTCCTGGCAATTGAGAGATGGCTGCTTCGACTTGGTAAAAGGTACACAGGAAACACCGCGTCCGCTCCTTCCTGCTCCCTGACTGCCTCCAGACGGCCCCGTGGGGCCAAGTCTGACCCGCAGCAACCATCCTTTCTAACTCTCCCAGGATTTCGGAGGACGAGGTGCACGGGAAAGGAAGTGACCTGAATGTCTGTGGTTCTCCCTGACAACCGAGGCAGGAAGGAAAGGGAAGACGGGGCCCCTCCGGTGGCTGAGGGCTCCCGGGGAGCAGCCTCCAACAAGATCAAGAGCGGCGTGACCACACTGACCCAAAGCATTCTTGAAAGACAGCCGTGTCTCCTTACCTGATCCTTCAAAGGATGTTCCCTTTTCTATCTCTTTCCATCACGTGACTGACTTCAAAGACGTTGGTGAGCTCCCAACAGTAATTTTAGCCTGATTCTTTAAAACAGCCGACACAGTTTCATAAATGGCTATAGAAGTGTGCTCCCTGGGGGTGCAGATGCTAAAGGGGGACCCTCAGAAGGTCCTGACGGCAGCCCGTGGGGCTGGGAAATCTCAAAGGCTTCCTAGATCAGGGCAGGGCCCTGGGAAATGACTCTGGGCAATGACTCGGCCCAATTAAACATTGCAGTTAAGCTTCCAAAAGCTGGGTTTGCTGAAAAACCACTGAGTGAAGGCCAAGGGATCTCTGTGAGCGATCCAGATGTTCCAGGCTGTGACAGAGCCCTGGCTTCCCACAGCTGGCGAGGGGTACTGTGCCCTGGGCCACGTAGGAATCCGGGTTTCCTACAGGTAACAGCACAAATGGGGGTAACCTATTCAGGACGCCCCTCTTCTGTCCTCACATGAATGCCTGAGGAGCAACCTCATGTTCACGGCCCCTGAAAGTCAGGTGGCTCTCACAGCCTACAGTTCTATAACACCTGAGGGGCAGAAAGGGTGGAGATGAACGCTTGTAAAAAATGCAACATATTTGTATTACGGAGCAGCTGTGACACTTGCCCATTTAGAATCTCCAAACATCAAGGGCCACCCTTTCACGTCTCATGGACCAATCAGGCAGCAAAGAGCTGAGGATGTTGAGAGGTCAGGGCTACACATCACCAGGGAGTCCTCACGCCTCTCTGCTCAAAGACAAGGTCATTCAGATTTCCTAGGATGTGTAGGACACTTCTTGGGACTCAAGGCTTCCTAAGGGCCGAAAAAGACCTTTAAGCACCATGAAACTGACCTCAAAGCCTCCATAAAATATGGAGAAAACACCATAAAGTGAATCAGTGACTCAAAGTAGATCAACTAACATAAATTTTTTGAATACACTGTATTAGATGCATCCTGTTCTTACAAGATAACCACAAAGGCATAATTTACACTGTCTTCAGGAAGCAGTTCTGGGCTCCGAGTAATGTCCCTACTTAAGAAGAACTAATAATTCATGCTCTGGCCTTTCTCAGGGCTCCAGCCTTCAATTAGAAGAAACCACCTTCCACACAAGACCTTCAGTGACTGAGGGTAGGGATCCCCTTTCCAGAGCGGGGCTGGCACACCAATCTAAGCCTCTACCAACTATGCAGAGTCTGCCAAAGCTACAGGCTACAGAGACATCTCCACACCCAAAGGCCACTGAGCTCACCACTGCTCCCAAGGGCTTTAGGACCAACACCCCGCCTCCCCCCCCCCCCCCCCCCCCCCACTGCTCTGGCCCTGCCCCACACGGTGCCTTTTGGTCTCCTTCCTGTTTCCTACTGCTCAGCCTGGCCAGGAACAGACCCTCCTTCCTCCTGTATCTTCACAAGTCTTCGTGGATCTCATTTCAAATCTCTCTGCCATGCCTCCTTTGAACCACTCCTGAAAGCTCACTCCCTTCTCTGAGCATTCCCCTTGGGTCTCAGGGCTCTCTCAGGATGATTGCAGCTTGAGGTGCTTTGGAGAAGACACCTGGGGGGGAAAGGACATTACAAATCCAAAATTCAAGACGATTATGGCCAAGGGACGGAACCTGTGTCCTCAGATATGACTTTGCTTGGTTTTCTTTTCTTCTGGTGATATGGTTCTTGTGGAGACTTTTTGGTTGTCTTCATTCATTTCTTCTTTTATCCATTTGACAAAGATTTATTGAGCTCCTACTAGGTACCAGACATGCTTACATAAGGCATCTTCGGAGGTCAAATGGAAACCGTGGCAATCTCATCATAGAAACATGCCTTCCCGAGAGAAATCGGCCTGTACCCAACCCCCACATCAGAAGGAGACAAGAGATGAGTACGTCTACTGGGCCTCCTCATTGCCCATCCAATCACAGATACCTTTTACCAAGTCAGGCAGCAGCCGTGCATTCATGTCCACAATCTGCTTTATTCTGTTTTGTTTTTAAAAATAGCTTAATTGCAATGGGCCACCCCACCCCCTCTTCATCATCTCCGCTCATACTCCACGTGAAGATTTATTTCCAAGAAGTAGTTTGGTCAGGAATGTGATATGGTGGGGCTTGGGTATAGCCCTGGTTCTTGGAACCACGTGGACTCTGGGTATTTGAATGTGCATTTTTAGTGCAAGGGAGGTCCTCTGGAAAGAAGGAGCTGGACTCGCCAGTTTGCCTCGGCCAGACTGAGGATGGGGTTGAGGCAAAGGGCTAGGGGCTGGGGAGTATTTTAAGCCACTTTCCAAGGACTCACTTAAATGGAGCCTGGATGGACATCTCACCCACCAGGCCATCACCCACACCTAAGGTCCCCTTCCCACCTCCCTCCAACCTTCTTCTTCTAATAGAGACTGTTCGTGCAGAGCCTGGGATTGGGACTTCCAAGGAGGAGACCAGGAGGAAGCAGGGAAGAAACTAGTTTTGTCAGGGAGGGCGTATAACACTTTCAGTTAGAGGCTAGACCCTGCACTGAGACCGATGTGTATGAGAAACCCAGCGCTGCCCTTCCTAGCCACGTGACCCTGGGGGAGTCACTGTATCTATCTGATGCTCAGTTTCTACAGTTGTGAGATGGGGATCACAGCTCATACGGGATCGTTAGAATTAGGAGCTTACAGTTGAGGGCTCACAGCAGTCAAGGTGGGCATTGTTCTCGGTGTGTTCTGGGTAGTACCCACCTAACTCTCCCAGCTCGCTCACCAGGCAGGCGCTCCTGTCGTGATAGGCACGTGAACGCTATAGAATGGCTGCTTTGCGCATGTGACTTACTTAGTCAGCATTAGCTACTACTGAGCCAATGGCACCTTCTAGCATCTTTTCCATCAGTTGGACTTGGGGAAAGAGGACCCATTTTGATGCAATGCATGTGCTTGGCTCTGGGGCCTTGTGTCTCTCGACACTCTCAAATGTCTGTAACAGGGTTTCTGGGGGAGGAGAACACGCGGGAGTTCCTGCTGCCCTGCCCCGAGCTGCCGCTCACACCCAGACCGGCTGCCCATCCCCCTTCCTCCGCCCCCCCCCCCCCCGAGTCCCTCTGGGTCTCCCCTTTGCTGGTAGACTGCATTTCCCATCGGATTTCTTAGGAAGCTCCTAGAGAAGCAGCTCTGGCTTCCCCTGCGTGGGGTGGCGGGCGTGGCCCTCGCCTGGGGTGGGCACTCACCTCTGGCCAGATTGCGGTGGATGGTTTCCTGCGACATGCTGTGTAGACGCTTCATGTAGTCCTCGCTGTACCAGACCCGGAGCCGCTCCCCGGGCCGGATGTCCCTGCACGCCCGGAAGTAGATGCGCTCGTTGTGCTGGAACGCCAGCAGGTTCTGCTCCCTCTCCTCCCGGGAGATGACCACGTACCTGGGGGCGAGGGGGACAGGTGAGAATGCACGGGCCACTCGTGGCTGAGTGCCTGCCGGGGCCAGGCACGGTGCCGGGCAGGCGTGGCAGGTCAGAGGTCCACAAGCTTGTGGCACGTGCTGAAGAGTCTCTAAGGGCAGCCTGCCTGTCCAGGATCGGGACGCCGGCTAGGGGCCAGTCCCTGGTCTCAATGTCACCGTTTTGTGGGACCTCGAGCAAGTCCCCGAGCCTCTAAGAATCTCTGTTTTCTGAGACTAGAAATGACAGCTGCCCTGCCTACCTCCCAGATTCTGGTAAATACACAATTCGACACCAGCTACAAAAATGATTGCAAACTGGACAGATCAGGTCAGTTCTTCAGTAGCTTTCAACCGCACGGATCCCCAAACACCTGCGGGCCTCTGATGGTGGTAAGTGTGGGGTTCTTGGACTCTTTCCAGTATTTCACAAAGCCCAGTAGAAATAACCCATGTGACAAGGGTGCCCCAAAGGTCAATTAATAAATGCTAAAGATCACTATCTTTAAAAAGTGGGTGTCCAGTGCGGACAGAAGAGGGAGGTAAATAAGAGACAAGAGAAGGTTAGCAACTACTCATTAATCTAAGTTATTTTAAGGTAAGGAAACTAGGACTCAGAGAAGGTAAGTGACTTGCCCAAGGTCACACAGCTAATAAATGGGAGGTGGAGCTTTGAGGTCTGTTTTCCTATGTGAGCCTGTAAAGCGCCGACTCAGAAAAGCCCAGATAACCTTGAAAGTTGTGCCAAACCCTCAGAATCACTCCCTTCCCCAACTCTCCCTGAAATGACATTTCCAACACCTAACCAGCCACCTCCAAAAGAGGAGATGATGTAACACGTACAGAGAAGTAGAGACATATAGCTCAAAAGAGGATATCGTTTGGAGTTTTAAGGCTCTGTGCTATGCGAGCATCTAGGAAATTTGGAGTCAAAAATGAACTTCTTTTCCTCACGCTATGGTTTGTCTCAAAAGCCAGGGAAGAAATCAAAGTCTGTCTGACTGGCCTAACTTGGGGCAGTCCAGGGTAAAGAGTAATTCACAGAAAAACAATCCAAGGGGGTAATGAACAAAGGAAAAGTATTCAGCATCATTAACACGGAACACAAAGTAGCACCTTGTCTCACTGGCATGGATTTCTCTCTCTCTCTTCTTTTTTAATGATAACATCCTATTGGCTAGAAAAGCGTCTCCCACGCTAATGGGAGAAAGTAAATTGGCACGACCCTTTGGGACACAAATTTGGCAATGTGGCCGCGAACAAGTATTCGTGCATCCACATTCATAGCAGCATGATTCACAATAATCAGGCAGTGGAAGCAACCCCAGTGTCCACTCATGGATAAATGGATAAACAGAATGTGGAATACACACACATCGCATTTTACTCGGCTTTAAAAAGGAAGCAAATTCTGATTCATGCTATCACATGAATGAACCTTGAAAACACATAGTAAGTGAAATAAGCCAGTCACAAAAGGACAAATACTGTAAGATTCCATTTATATGAGGTACTTAGACGAATAGCTAAATTCATGGAGACAGAAAGTACAACGGTGGTGGCGGGGGCGGGGGTGGTGCCGCCGTGTGGGGCCGGGGGAATGGGAATTAGGGCTTAATGGGTGTTCTGTCTCAGTTGGGGAAGACGAAAAGAGCTCTGGAGATGGATGGTAGTGATGGGTGCACAATGTAAACGAACTTAATGCCGCTGAACTGTACAATTAAAAAAAAAAAGTGGTTAAAATGGTCAATTTTATGTCATGTGCGTTTTGTCGCAATTTTTGGAAAATTTAAAAAGGACCCATAAGATGCAGACCAAGTAGACAAACTCTACCGACCACCACCCTGCCTATATCATTGTTTACCATAGTGCAAAAGCAAAGACATCGAAACGTCTAATATTGGAGAAACGGCTTAGTAAACCGTGGTATATTCATTCGTACGATGGAATGTTACTCATCTATAGAAAAATGTTTTCAATGGATCTTTCCTGGCGTGGAACAACGGTCCTGTCCTGATAGAACGCAGAGTGAGAACAGTAAGACCGGAAGCTATTTACTCTACAGTTCCAACCATGCTTTAAAAACAAGCCTCGCTCGGTAAGCTACTTGAAGGAAATGTTTTACTGGTGACTGATTATCCGTTACAGGTGGATCTGCTCTATCATTTTCTTTTCTGTATTTTCCAAGTTTTCCTTGTTAAGCAATTACTACAGTTACCCCCACGGCCACCCCCTAGAAAAAGACACACATGAACGCCAATTCCAGGACTGGTGGTGGTCCTGGTGGCCAGCCACATTATGAATCTACATTCGCCGAGCCTCAGGCATATAGCACCCTCGAGCACATCCTGCCCCATGTCGTCGGGGACAGTCCCCTGTGGACTCTGTTCTACTCGGCCCTGGAGAAGGCCATGACCTTACAAGGGGGACCACTAGAGTCCAGGGACCAAGCCACCTAGTAACAGGCTGCAGCGCGGACCCCCGGGTTGCGGGAGTGAGGCCAAGGGGGACAGGAGTGCAAACACGAGCTTTTGGCTGCTTCACCCGTGTTTAGAGAAGCAGGTGGGGAGGGGCGGGGGTCACACTTGCAGGATTTTTGGCACTTAGATCCTCGGAACTTGCTTGGGTCCAGGAACTTAGCCTCAACGTATCTGCGCTTGTCAGAATCAGACATGAGCACTGGTCTCCCTGAGCTGTGAAGACCATACTGTGATATCCAGGATGCCGAGTCACGCCACTAACGAAGAACCTGGGGAAAGGAAAAGAGGACCCCTGGCCTAGAGAAGTCTTTCCGAACGAATACTTCCAAGTCACAACTCTGTAGCACAGGGGTCTGCTTTTCTCTGGATCTGAGATTCCTTCTGAATGTGCAAAATATTTTCCAGTCCCCAATTTTAGCGAGAGCCTGGGGTTTGACATCCAGAATTAATCACCCTTGTGGTTAGTACAGAACTGGGGTAGATCCAAAGTTTCCTACTCCCAGATTCGGAAGGCAAACCATTCATTCATATTCCCTCACAAGAATCACTTGGATCACAGAGCACAAGGAGAGAGACGCTCTTCTCTTTTTTGGGGGGTGTTTAAGCAATCATCAAGCTCTAAAAGCTAGAATTATTTTCTCTGGCATCCAACTTTAGGAGAAAAAGAGATGAGGAACACCTAACTATCAGGGATTTCTTCAAAAGAGCAACTTCTAGACTACGTCCGAAACTTTAGAAAGATTCAGGTCAATTTCCCTTTCTACCTCCTGGTGGTTTCCTGCCCGACAAACATCAAGGTTTAGGAAGAGAACTCCAAATCTTTGCAGTGATCACAATCTTCCAAGACAGATCAAAATTTGTTCAGCATCTGGTTATATTTGGTTGTTTTGAAACTTGGCACGTGAAATATGACATTTTTGGCAACTCTCAGCAAATCGTAACAACCAGTCCCCTCAAGATGCTGAATGGAGCCAAGCTAAGTCCCAACACAGATGACCTCAAATCAGATCTCCCTCTTGTAAGTATTTTGCAGTAACCCCCAATGGTTTGATCCACTCCAAGAATCCTTCTGTCCCCATACGATAATCCCTTTATGAAGAGCCACGCCTGTCCCATTCCGAGAGCCCTCCCTGGAAGACAAGGCTCTTAGGGAGTGAAAATCTCTGTATCTGTTGAGTTTCCAGGTCACTACTTCGTTGGAGAGAAGGCACAGTGTATGTCAGAAGGAGGCGGAAAATGGCTAACGCAGGCCACTCTACAAATAATAGAGCTCATCTGATAGCTTTTCAAATCAGACCCACAGAGTTGACGCCCTTTGAAGCAATCAAAGGGGTGGGTGGTAGTGGGGGGGGGCATGTGTTCTCGACTGAAAGTTTCATGATGAGAATGGATAGTTTTTATTCTGAACTCCTTGCTGACTTTGGGTACTGGACAGATAAGCACTAAGACAACACTCTCACACCTCACCCACTGTGCCTTATCAAATGCACCATATTTTCTCGCTGGGTCAGGAAATGACTATCAGTTCCAACAGAAGAGAGAAAATAACCCATGGGGCAACCATTTTGTTGGAGTGGGAGCAGAGAAAGGCCAGGCTCAGATGGTCCTGCTCAGTGGGTATGTCTCTGATGCAAGGAAACTGCACCAGTCACGGAGGGCAGAGATGGGAAAGAGTGACCAAGAAGAGGCTGAGCTCCGTTTTCTCACAGTGTTTAGGTCTCGAGCTGGACAGGTCTTTGGGTCATGCATCCACCCACCGGAGGGTCACCCAACCTCCGACAGAACATCACCCAGCCAGCCTGTAAAGCGGCTGGAGGCCTCAGACCCTTTGGTGGGACTTCCCCATCTGACAAGGGAAATTGTAAAAATTGGCTGCCCATTCACTTCTAACCACTGGCCCCAGTTTCGCCTTCCTGTTTTGATGTGCTAGACCCATAATCCCCACTGAAGCCAAGAAAAAGAAACTACAGAAATTTCATCTGAAGTTCACAGGCTCTTCATCTCTCTGTCCCCTTTGCTTCCAACTTGATCCTTTCCCTCCCCAGGACCAGAGGGAGGGGTCTGCCAGTTACTGGTCAGCACCTAGACCAGGCTGCAGAAGACCCTGGGCCCAGTTTCACAGTATCTTTGCCTGTGGCAGAAATCGGATGACCTGGGTCCCAGGAGGTCAAAGGCGGGCTGGAACCTTCCAGAGAGGGGATAGATCCCTGGTCAGGACTTAGGGATTTCCTGCTTGGGAGGACCTCTCTGTGTGACTGGGAGTAAGCCAGGGCAATGCCCAGGTTAGGAGGCCCCTTCTCTTCTAAGGAGACTCCCAAAGGGACCCGGAGGACCCGCTCTGGTTACTTTGAAAGCCTCAGCTCTCGGAGGACAGGGTCTTGCCTGTGACAGACAGATACCAGGATCAGTGGGGAGGTGTCCCCCCAGAAAGTTCATGCCTCAGGCTGGTCCCTGAAGTACACTGGCAAATGGATAGCCCCTGACCCTTCTGGAGTCTCCTGCC